TATATACACAGTATACTGCCATCACTACAATATACATGTTTTGCATACTTCTTTATTTGGCATACAGTTTTATTCACAGGCTTTCTGCAACATGCCACACACTTCAAATTCATGCCAACTGATATTGTTGCATCCAGTAGATGTCCTACTAGAGCAAATGAAGCTTCAAGAAGCTTTGCGCTGGAGTGAACCAATTGGATGAAAGGCTTCAATGCTTCATGAAGCTTCATCTGCCCATCACTATTAATAACCACTAGTCAAGTACTGGATATAACCATATCATTATACTGTAGGTCAAGCTATGTTTTGCTTAAGTGTTTTGTCTTCATGCAGTTCCTCTAAATCCAGGGCATGAGGACGTTTCTGTGTTAGCTAATGATATCAAAAACATTAGTTCTCACCTCTCAGCAAGTAACTAAGTATGCTTACTCAAGTACAGTACTGTACTCGAGTGGAAATTTGATGTATTTGTACTTTACTTCAGTATTTCCATTTTCTGCTGCTTCAGTGCTTGGACTTCATTATTTATTGCATTACATGGATTTGATAACTTTATTTCATATTCAGAATCAGATGAATAAAACAAAATGCCTTATAATAATAAGACTATTCCTGGAGGGAAATCCACAGGCTATCCAGCAGTATGTAAAGTATTTCTGATTCTAAGTCTCTAAGGTAGTTTACGTTAGCTCCACCTTTACCAGCTGCAACATTAAAATGATGAACACTAATGCATCAGGAATTATAATACATTGATATAAATTTCCTGTAGGAGTGAGTGTGTGTGTGGTTGTTTATCTACATGTCAGCCCTGTGACAGACTGTTGACCTGTCCAGGGTGGGCCCCACCTCTCGCCCAGTGTCAGCTGGGACTGGCTCCAGCACCCCCCATGACTCCCTTCAGGGCAAGTGGTATAGATGATGGATGGATGATACTGTATCATATACACTAATGTGAAATGTGCCATAATGAGTATTTTTACTTTGGTCTTTAAGTGTATTATGATGCTAGCACTGTAGTAATTTTACTTAAGTAACATATATAATGCAGGGCTACAACTTGTAACAGAGTATTTCTACACTTTGGCATTGCTACATTTACTTAAATAAACAATCTGAGTACTTCCATCACTGCCTCTCAGCCACTGCAGTTTATTGATAATCAGCAGAAAAAGTGAAAAACAAAGTAGGCTTCACATTTATTGAAGCAAAAAGCTGTTTGTCCTTGATAATGTAGCAGAGGTATTACTCCAACTGGGATTTGAACACGGGTCCAGACAACACTCAACTGAAGAATTGGCTGGGTCAGCGTGAGGTTCAGCAACTTCAAAGTGCTGCAACTTCATTAGTTGTCGCTGTTTCCCCTATCGGCTACTTAACCCCATCCTATCAATAGAACTTTCTGGAAATGAATTTCTAATGCAAAGGCAGAGTACAAAAAATGGGATGCTCACCTCTCCTTCACAGCAAACAGTAAAACATGGGATTGTCTTACTGTGACTTCACTGTGATGATCTGCAGATACATGTGCAGCATTTGACACTAAAATGCTATTTTCACATGTATCTGCTGAATATGAGGTTTCTTTGTGTTCACCAACTTAGTATGGAGGTGTATCTGCAGGATGTAGGGACGCCACACATAGTTTGGAGCGAAATGTGGTTCAATACACATGTACAGTATCTTCTAAAAGCAGGATTTGGACACTTGAAGCCTTCAGGTCAGGAACACTAGTAATGGACTTTACAGTGAAGTAGGAAGCATTTTGTGTACAGGTGTTTGAAACCAGTTGTATTTGCACATTCATAGGTTTTAGTTTTAGGTTTTATGTGGCAAAAACATATCAGACACAACTAAATATTTCTATATGTCTTGCAGTCATAGCACCTCACTACTCATTGATGCACACTCAAAGTGCTTTGCACTATTTCCCATTCACACACTGGTAATATCACAGGCAGCAATGTGAGCTTCAGTGTCAACAAGAACACGTGAAGTGGAGAAGCCAGGAACTGAACTGCCAACCCTCTGGTTAGAAGACAGTGCCCTCTACTTCCCTTCTAAACCACGCCACCTCGTATGTCATAACACACATCTGAGGAGATTTTTCAAATATTTGGGAAAAAAACACTAAACTATTACAAAAGTCAGATTTCTCTTGTTTTTTTATACCCATATAGTACATTGTCAGCCTGAGGCAATAAAAATCTTGTGGGTTCAATCCATTTTTTTTACTGATACATCATCACAAGACCTAAATATTCCAAAGAATAGAGTGAAATACATTTTACATAATTCCTATACTAATCAGCAGTGATCATTTTATCTGCTCAACCTTAGAGGTAATGGCAGAAAGAAGCACATGCACACACATGAAGCACATGAATGTTTATTAGAATTTGCAATTAGTGATGTAACATTCACCTACATGGTGCGAAGGAAGTCATAAATATGCTAATATGCAAATATGCACACCTTTACTGAAATGAGCTCATCTCATCAGGGGATGACATACGTATCCAACTAAAACTCAGTGATACACCTCCATGTGACTGAACGGGGTGGACTGCACATGAGCCTGTTGCTCTGATGGCAGTAAATAACAGAAAATCAGCAACAGAGTTTCTATCAAATATTTTGTTCAAAATGAAAAGAAATGACAAAAGGTCAGAAGAGCACTGGATTTTAAAATAGTGAAATGAAAAGTAAAAGAAAGAGAAAAAATGCACTGCACCTGAAATAGTCATGTTTCTTTTCATTAATGTGGAGCTACAGTACTAAGTCAGCAGAAAAATGTGCATGGCTTTTGTATTCAAATAAATCAGTTATTTAATTTGAAACAGTAGGGGTATGATCACTTTTGGATGCAGTATGGCATTTCATTTATCTTACACTGTAGTTAGTCCTTATGAATCAATGAATAAAACAACAGTTAACAGGTCAGTTTATGATTAAGAGTCAAAATTTGCCAAGACAAACTTCTGTTAAACACAAAAAAAGTAACAAAATTTAAGAAAAGAAAGCAGTGATAACATAGTATCCGAGTACCAAAGTGGTGGTGTGATTAGTAACAGTATGTGAAATCCTTTGAAATGGGATTAGTTATCCGACTTCAGATAGCGGCCATTTTGGGGTCTGGCTTGAGCTTAATGTGCAGAAAGAGAGAAGGTGAGCTCAGCAAAAGGCAGTAGTCATAGTCGAGGTGAATACAATAATAGTGATGGTGCCATGGCTGATAATGGTAAAAGAGGAGAGGTCATGCAGCTTGGGCCAGAGGTGAGGAGGGCAGGGAGGGCCCTCAGGGGAAGAATTTGCCATCAGATGGTGGTCCCTGGTCTACCGGTGCTTTAGGTAGGACACAGCACTAGAAAGATGGAATGGTGGAGAATAATGTTACGTCTCTATGTGATAAGACAATACAAAGTTACATTAATAGTGTGCAATGATTTTTGTAGCCAAATGAGTTCATTTTTGCAATTACTGATTTTAAAAGACAGTATTCCAATTTGAGTTGTTTAATTGCCATCTCCCCCGTGTTGTGTAGTAAGCTAGACAAGTTAACACAGGACTGGCACTGTGTTCAGTTAACAAAAACAACTTCAACTGATTTGTTTGTTGAACCAGTGACTTTTTCATCATCAGAGACTTTGTAAAAATCTTGTGATTACCTTTCAATATGTAGTCTGTTAGCAGTGTAGGCACCTTCTCACTGTCTTCCTTCATGGCATAAAGAACTAGGTGGAAGAAACACCAAATGTGTCTGGCTACTTTTTCTTTTAGTCAGCAGTAATTATATGATAAAAATCTTCTGGACTAGACTCTTACTTTTTGTGAACAGCTGCAGGTCATCAACAGATGGAGGAGTGCCTTTCTGCTCATATGGAATAACCGTGTTGAGATGCTGAAAGCAGAGTCAAAGTTCCAAATCTTTAAAAACATGGATATTTAGCAGCCTAGTTAACATGTAATGATCTGGTGTTTTTATATGGTGATTAATGATTCAAAAGCAGGTTACCATTGGTGTAGACAGCCCTGAACTGAAAGACTTAGAGCAAACATTTGGCATTCTGGGAAGTGCACTTAATTGCTTTTCTTCAAAAATGATTCATGACTGATAACACCCTCCTGTCTGTCCTTTAAATATGCATGCAGGAGACAGCAGTCAAGGAATCACAAATTCCAGTAGGGATTAAACAAACAAGACGTAACATCAATAATTACTCTTAAGCTGAGCTGTAACATCATAAGTAGTGTACACTCATACTGATATTCTCAGCTAACTTCACTGGAATGCCTGTATATTGCAAACCATTTTCCTTATCGTTGAGTAAGAACACTCTATGACCAAATGTAAATACAAGGGTACATTCAAAAACACAGTATTAGAACTTGCTCTCACTCCAAAACTTCCACCCATCCATTATCTACACCCCTTCTTCCTGAATAGGGTCACGGGGGGCTGGAGCCAACCCCAGAGGCGGGGTCCACCACATGGTTAGTTTAGGGTTTTCTCTATAAATAGTGATTAGTGTAAACACCATATTAATTAATTCTCTTTTCAGAAAAGTAGTATTTAAATAAATATAAAATTAATATTGTAAAATAAATAATTATTTTAAACTTAGCAAACACGTTAATTACTCTCATTCTGGGTTACTCTGCCTGTGCGTTAGCTCATAGTATGATACGACTTTACATCCATGGTAGATCTATGAATAATATGCTGTATATTGCATCAGATACAGTGGTTCTGATTTGTTACTACACACACATGTAGCGATCTAATGTTAATGTTTACACCCCTCTATTGCTACTTCCTAAAGCCTTAGATGCTCCGTGCCTGTCCTGAAGACTCATTTCTGCAAAACAGTGAAACAGTTCCATGATACACCTGGAGGGTAAAAAAGTGACACAGAATGTAGTTTATAAAACTCTAAAAACAGATGCATGCACTTGCATGGTGACACAGAATGGATGAGAACAACTGCAGAGCTATTGGTTTCAGGAAGGATATATTGGATTGTGTTACCTTGACACAAAATGGCTGATAGAGTATAGAATGGCAGCAGGGCAAACTGACTACAAATCCCATGTTGCCCTGCTCTTAGAGATGACATATTAGCACCCTTTGTGGTTACTTGGTGAATAACATGCTGCATAGGCTGTCAAACCAACCACCCTGGCACATTATCAACATTATCCAATTAAACAGACATTTTATTACTGTTAAAACATGAAATAAAAATAAATTCATAAACAAATAGTTTTAGGACATATACCATAAAAAATGTGAATATACAGTCAATGTAATGTACAGAGAACATAAGCTTTAAATATGGGTTCACCTTGCCCCGTTAACAAATAACGCTGCCAGCTAAAAATCATTCAACACACTCAGTGCTAGAAGGAAATACCGGCACAGTTAGACGAATACTATCCCCTGCATTGATCTAAACCTAATGAATAAACTATTTCCTTTAATGGGTGGAGACAGGGATGAACACAGCACAGCTGCTGCAGGCCCCTTCTCATGCCAATAAGTTGTGCCACGGCTCTAACGCACTGTGGCTAATAATCTCACTATAATTATCACTGAATTAGGCATTTATTTACCTCGAGTAACTCATAACTGTCATAGTTGTTAATACATCTTTAAGCACATGTAACTACACTGTACCTCTGCAACACTATTTTTGATGTCTATATCTTATTGTAGCTCTGTACAGTATTATTAACTGTGTAAGTCTGAATAATTTGTGCACATGTAGTGAGAATACATTTGCCAAGCTATGCATCTTGCTGTGAATACAGCGTATGAAAACATTCTTCATTACTAGCTGATATCAATAGGTTAAAAGTTCACTTAACAATGCAGACTGCTTCTTCAAATGTGTCAAAATTAAATCAAATTCATTTTGTCAGTGCACTATTTTGACCTTACCTGTTTGTCATTCCCTGTACTTCCAAATGTCTGTCTGATGCTTGTCTGCAGGATGTTGGACAGTCCCTCCATACTGAAACGCTGCAGGTCACCACATACACACACACACACACACACATTATTATAGCGTACAGATCATAAATTAGTTCCTTAATCAAACTGATAGACTGTCTGAAATCTGGTCAAGTACAATACAGACCTACCAGCACCTCACACAAACCATGTTGTTGATTCAGTCATTGTGGAGTATTTATTTTTATTGTTTATATTGCATCTGCATCATTAAGCTATTTGCAGATTGATATTATAACAGTAATGCATCCTCAGGTACATAGGGGTCACCAGATAATTTACATGGAGAGAAAATCCATTAGGTCATTTTCTGTTACTGGACAGGAGTAGACTGGACTGGGCTGTTACTGTCTGAAGACAACGGGCCAGCTCCACTTCAGGAGCTTTCCTGGAAGATACTTTTGTGGCTAATGGACCTGAGATCCATTAAGCTAACAGTCAGAGGGAGAGCAGAGGGAGCTGTAGAGCACTGTGGTTTCACTTTTCTCTAATTTACAGTAGAAGGATTAAGACACAGAAGCTGCATCATGAGCAAACCTAATGGAAGTGAAAACATATACATTATGACATAACTGATGCAGTGACAGTGGTAAGAAGAAGTTTGTGAAACCCCTGTGTGACAGGGCCAAAGGTGTGGCACATGCACACATACATACACACCTGATATAAGTTAGTAAAAGGTGTATAAGTATTCAAAGCCCCTACTGGCTCTCACCTTGATAGGCATGCCCCCTGTCTTCTCCATGCGTCCCGTGGAGCCTGTATTCCCTCCATTCACAGAAGGCATCCCTCCCCCCTGCAGGCTCAGGGCCTTGTCCCGGCGCCGGCGTTTGCTGCTGTCTCGTTGCTCCTTCTGCCTGTTCTGCACCTCCATCAGGGCAGTGATGAATGTGTTCTTCACCTCTTTCTCAAACTTCAGCTCATCACGCCGAGCCAGCTGGCTGACCAGCTCCTCTGAGTACTCACGGATGGCAGCCTCCACTCGCTCCAGCAGGTTGACCAATGCTGAGCTGTGCATCAGGCTGAGGCCTGCACAACAAATAAAGGGGGTTGGGTGTTGTTTTGTGCACATATTTTCCTTACCCACAGGGTCAAAATGCTAAAAACATATACAAACTCTGTGAATATGAACACATTTGGTAGAGCTTACATTTACAGTACCGTAGTTTAGCATGAACATAACAACACACATGAGAATCAGTCAGACTTAAGTGTTACTTTATTGCAACAATATTTTGAATATGGGACACTATGGCAATATCACTAATTTACAAGAAAAATAAGTTTAAAAAAGATGTTATCCAAAACAGCTGGCCTCTTTGTTGTTTGTGACCCCTTATTTTAAAAAGAGTCATTTTTTCTTGAGAACCACTGAAGATGATCATATAATGTTGAGAACTTTGGCTGCATGCTCATGCCAGTTGTGTTCTTACTGAACAAACCTTGAGTGAATCCCTGAGTGAAAATTTTAGCCCTCTTCTTTTTGTTCTTCTTATTTTTATTATAATTTTAAAAATGCCTTTTTGGATTGAGTCAGTTCTTCATGCTGCCTTCTCCAACGTCTCACCATCCATTGATGCCAAGCTTACATGCAACAGCTCTATTTCCTTCTTCAACAGCCAGATCGATCACCTTTAACTTGAAAGCTGCATCATATGCATTTCTTCGTGCGTTTTCCATGATGAGCGTGTGTGCATGAAGAGCAAAATGACTGATCTGATTAATTTAGTGTGAGTGCATTTGATTTAATTCAAACAATTTCATTGGTCCACTGTGAACTGTTTGAAACAACAAAGATTCATGAATACATCAGGAAGATGGCCCCGATGACATGCTTAGTGAACACCTCAGGCAGCAGAAACCAGAGGAACAAGGGAAGGAAGAGCAGGAACCCTCATGGAAGGACAAACCCTTGCACAGTATGTACCACTCCATCAGATAGTGGCTGGACAAAGCTGGACTGAAAGACAGCACAGAGGCACTAATCCTGGCAGCACAAGAACAAGCTCTAAGTACAAGATCAATAGAGGTCAGGGGTCTACCATACCAGACAGTCCCAAAGTCAAAATGGGATACACCTCCAAAGGTGGTTGAGAATGACCAAGCTAAGATCCTGTGGGACTTCAAGATACAAACTGACAAACTGGTAATGGCCAACCAACTGGACATAGTAGTGGTGGACAAACAGAGGAAGAAGGCCGTAGTGATAGATGTAGCAATCCCAAGCGATAGCAACATCAGGAAGAAGGAACATGAGAAGCTTGAGAAATACCAAGGGCTGAAAGAAGAGCTAGAAAAGATGTGGAAGGTGAAGACACAAGTGGTCTCCATGGTAATAGGAACATTGGGGGCTGTGACCCCCAAACTGGGAGAGTGGCTCCAACAGATCTCTGTCCAGAAGAGTGCAGTCCTAGGAACAGCCAAGATACTGCACAGGACCCTCATGCTCCCAGGCCTCTGGTAGAGGACCTAAGTTTGAAGGAAGGAATAAGACTGCTCCAAAGTGGGGGGGCGAGTGGGGAATTTTTTAAAATATATATAGATAGATAGATAGAATGCCTAGATGGAGGAACCACATGAATCTCCAGTGTCTTCACCAATGGGGCACCTATTGACAGAGAACACTGTATCACTGTGTCCTTTTCAACTGTGACCTATGGACATGCTGGAAAGAGATGATTAATCCTTCTGTGTGGAAATGAAGTGTGGAGGGCGTCCTGGTGACATGTGGCCGGCCAAACACGACTGACAAATAACTCTCCACAAAAATAAAATACTACAGAATGAATGTGAAAGTAAGCAACTTTTAGCATAAGATGGCTATTGCAGTTTATTGCACTTGTCATAACTGGCTTTCATGTTAATAAGGATGTTAAGCTTGATTTAAAGGTCTCATTTGTGGAGGGTTTCACTGATGTTTAGTACTCCATTGGCTGATCATCCTGACAAACTGAATTGTTTCTTTGGCCAGGAAAGATTCACTTTTACATAATCAAGTATACAAGTAACACTGTTTTAAAAGAATGTTGCTTGTTTAGATCCCAGACCAGTTGAGAAAATCCAAAGGAGTGAAAAAAAATTTCTTAACAGTTCTAGCCCAACTACCAGTGGGAAAGTTGCATTAATAAAGAAACAGTAACAGTGATTATTTCCTGTTTCACCTTCATAAGAGCAGTTGTTGTTAGAAGCCTGTAACAGCTGCCTGATCTCCTCCAGAAGGGAGGGACTGGTCTGGGAGCAGTGGCTGCTCTCCTCTTCATCCTCCTCCTCAGTTTCACCTGGATCAGGGGAGTTCTCCATCATCTCAACTATCTCCTCAATGACCTTGGAGAGAAAGAGACAGTGCAGGAAGGATAAAGGGAGATGGGTGGGTGAACAGGAAAAAGAGCAGGAGATGGGGTAAGTACTGTACACACACATCCTCAATCTTCCATTTGTTAATAGAGTGTGGCCACTAAAATGCCAAAAGCCTCTTCAATAATCATTGCATGTATCATCATATATACAGTATCTATATGCGCATCATTCATTAAATCCATTATAGATGTCCACCAAGGCTGCAGCAATGCAGGCCAGCTTGAATTGGATTTTGGAAGCCATCTGTCTAAACTCCTATTCCAGCACTATCTGTGTAACACCCAATGCTCCACACTGCCATACATGACATCACTAGTCTTACTGGACATGATAAAGGCATTCAAACTAAGCAACAAAATACATTAGTGGTCCACATCCTCTAGAATAACACATACAGTAACAGTGGTCTCTGATGCCCTATCAGCAGGACAGCATCAGTTGATGGTGCCTTCCAAAACTGTTACAAATCACAGCTGGAAAAATAAATCTACTTTATAATGCTATGGTTATGGTATATTTAATTTTAGGCACATTGTTTATAGTTAAATAAATACTAATGTTATGAAAATGTGGTATGGGCTTCAATTTATAGGACTAATTCATTAAGGTCAGGGGACCTTTGTTTTCATGGTTAATATAGTCAGTATTTGATTAAACATTTCATGCTGTTATTCTTCTTGGAAGGACACAAGAAATCCAACTTTTATGCAACAAATAATGTAAAAATACAGTGTCGTCAGTAGACTGGAACTTGTGATAGAAACACACATGAATCCACACTGTTAATCCACTGAAAGATTACCTGGACAGAAAATGATAAACTATCAAAGTGGGATGGCTGCATCTAACAATGCAAAGATTAACTGAGGGATTACTCATGGTACTATTCCTGGTTCCTTATTGTTTTTAATCTACTGTACATGCTATCTAACCAATATTTGTTTTCACTATTAAGATTAAAATTTATGCTCACAACCTACAGTATCTTGCATACATCAGATCTTGGACATCTTGTAACTTCTCAATGTTAAATGCTGATTAAACAAAAGTAATGGTGTTTGGTCCTAAGGCACACAGGTACAGCATCAGGCAGGCTCTGTAGCCTGCTTGGTTTGCACTGTGCTCAGAAGACTATAAATCTAGATGTGGTTTCTGATCTTGACTTGCATTTGAAACATTGCAGTGGTATTACAAAGTCAGCTATGGTATCTGTCAAATCAAGAGCATTTCAAAAATTAGATCTTTTTTCATTCTGTGATTTAGAATTGCTTAATCATCCTTTGTCTCATTATTACCAGAACTCCTAATTTGCCCAAAGTTGCTCTAGAAATCCAGCTTTTACAAAGTACAGTGCCTCTTAACAAGATCTAGACAATGTGAGCACAGTGTGGGGAAAACTACACTGGTTACCTGTGACCCTTCCTACTGTAGATTATTGACATTTACTCTTTACACCCCATTGCTGACTAACTAAACTGAACAAATCTGAATGAAAAAAAGCTAACTACATTAAAAAAAAACCTAAAATAGCAAACGAAATTATTGTAAACAAAAATGTATTATATGTGACAAGTGGCAGGTAGAAGATGTAAAGGACTATAACATCATTCCGAGACAAGTCTCATGTTATCCAGGATGCAGGGTCACAGTCTTACACGCCTCTCTGCTGTCTCTTTGCAGCTGCTACCCACCCAACGCTCCCAGTACCCCATAGAGACTGTGTCTGCCCCCCGCCCACCTAAATTATATAAATCAAGAATCAACTCCAGAAGAGTTATTCATAAGAACCTAATTAAAATTAAGATGACTCCTCTTATAGTAGAAAGTAATAAGACAATCAAATGTGGACTATTAAATATCAGATCTCTCTCATCTAAATCTCTGTTAGTGAATGATTTGATAAGTGAACATCACATTGACTTATTGTGTCTTACTGAAACATGGTTACAGCAGGAAGAATATGTCAGCCTAAATGAATCCACTCCACCTAGTCACAGTAACTGTCACATCCCTCAAAACACAGGCCGAGATGGTGGTGTGGCAGCAATCTTTGACTCAAGCCTATTAACCAACCCTAGACCTAAACATAGTTATAACTCATTTGAAAATCTCACCCTGAGTCTCTCACACCCAAACTGGAAAACTCAAAAGCCTGTTCTGTTTGTTATTGTATACCGTCCACCTGCTACTTATTCAGAGTTTTTAAGTGAATTCTCAGACTTTCTGTCTGATTTAGTGCTTAGTACAGATAAAATAATCATAGTAGGCGACTTTAATATTCATGTAGATGCCGACAATGACAGCCTCAACAATGCATTCTGTTCATTATTAGACTCAGTTGGCTTCTCTCAAACTAAATAAACCCACTCACTGTTTTAATCACACTCTTGATCTTGTTCTGACATATGGCATCGAAACTGAACACTTAATAGTTTTTCCCCATAACCCTCTTCTGTCTGACCATTTTCTAATAACTTTTGAATTTCCATTAATGGATTATACTCTATGTGGGAAACAATTCCACTACAGCAGATGTCTATCTGGCAATGCTGTTACCAAGTTTAAGGAAATAATTCCATCTTTATCTACTTCAGTGCCGTTTGCCAACACAGTGGAAGGAGGCCACCTTAACTTTACTCCAACACAAATCGATAATCTTGTTGATAGTACTGCAGCCTTCCTGCGTAATACACTTATACCATTGCCCCTCTGAAAAGGAAGGCAGTGAAACAGAG